AAAATCCTTTCCTTTAGTGTACAATTTCTCTTCTCTAAAGGCTTAAGTGACTAGAGAGCATGAAATATTTAACAAAGGGAATAATAAATACTAACTTCTACACTGATTCAATTTCTAATTGTCTCTTATAAATCTTAGAATAATATTTGAGTTATTTTAAAACATATAAACATATTCTGCTAAGCATATAAGCATATTATTCTCTGAGATGAAAATGTAAACTTACACTAAAATTCTTAAGTTTTGAAATGCAGTAGATTAATTTTTCTGTATCACCTGATATACTTCAAAGGAATCTTAACTATTATTTTTAACATTGAGCAGGAAAACTTCACTTGTATTTGAAAAATAATAATTTAGTAAATGCTTACCTTGAAAAGACCAGTTTTATTAAAGAAAGTAAACTGTGCTCTTTTAACTAATACAGATACTTCTTGGCTTAAATTCTCAAGTAAGTTTGGAGGCAGGATCACAGAAGCCAATGGATCCACTTGTTCACTCTTAAAATCCATCTGTCACACATGGAGAGATTTATTAGCCAGTGATTGCAATTAAGTGGTAATGATGACTTTCCATATTTAATAAGGTGAGAGAACAACTGCAAGTATCAGGTTTCTAGGTCTGGGGCTTCTCTGTATTTCTTTTTTTTCAGAGAATTATTTTATTTAACTATTTTAATTTGAATAGAGAGGGACAAAGTGAGAGAGAGAGAGAGAGAGAGGGAGGGAGAGAAGAAGAGAAAGTGGGAAAGCCAGGTGCCAGGTCTGGAATTTGAACTGTGATTGGACCTCTAAGCAGTCACTGCAGCTCCTGGATAAATCCCCTAATGACACACTCACAGATCTGCTCCAGGTTTTGCATATGTGGTTTCTAAGTAGTCACTGCAGCTCCTGGATAAATCCCCTAAATGACACAACCACAGATCTGCTCCAGGTTTTGCATATGTGGTAAAGAAGAAAATGCGATGATTTTTATTACAGCTAACTGAGAAATCTACAAATGAGTCAACATTTCAAAGTATAAGAATTAGATTGAGCATTATCAGATGTCACGGTTTTCTCAAAAACAGTGAAAAATAATAACTACCAACAAGAGGGCAAGAGCTTGAAGTTAAAATGTCTTTGACTACAGAAACAGAGTGGCCCCTGTGAAGAGACAGCAGCTGAAGATTTATGAACACTTTCGGGGCCAAAGACTACTTTCTTGCAAATGGTCCTAGAATGAGACTGAGGCTGATGGAGTTTTCACTCTTAAACTGTGAAACAGAATTACCCCAAAGGGCCCCTAATCTAAAGGAGAAAAAAGATCTTCCCCCTATCCTAATTTCAGACTTATCAATTTTCAGTTTGTTCTGTCTCCACCAAAGAAAGAAGTGTTATGTTCCACATAAATGAGGAGCCGTCAAAAAATTTATGGGAAAGGTGTATTATGAAAAAAGTATGTTTGGATTTAGAATTTTTTTGCATCCAAGTAAACTCATATTTAATTCCATTTTTCCACAATTTTGAAGTCTCCTTTTATGCTCTCCGTGGTCAAGAACAAAGTTCGTTCATTATGTTTGTTCTGATGACTGGCACTGCCTGACAATACTTGAGAACTATTTGCTGCATTGTCACATTAATGTCCAAAATGCTCTCCATCAATCTGACCCCAGCATGCTTGTTGAGCCTCACTGTCTCCTACCATTTCCAGAACCTACTGGTTCTTAAAGTGTGACCCTTCCCAGCAGCATCAGTCATATCTAGGAACTTGCAAAAACTGCAAATTTCAGGGACCTATCAAGAACCTAGTAAATGATTTGAAATTCTGATGGTAGGGCACAGTAATTCATTCCACTTTTTTTTTCTTTTTTAGGTTTTTGCCATAGGGCATGTGTACCTGCTAGAGAGAGACAGAGGAACAGAGAGAGGGAAAGTGAGGAGTCACTGCCCTGAGGGATGGCCATGCTGTAATCCCTTTCTCTCCATTCTCCCGTTGGAATTTTTGGTCATAAAGGCACATGCACCTTGCATGAATTTTAAGCCACTGGGTCTGGGACTCAAACTGAGGTTGACCATGTAGGAGTCCAGTGTCTTAACCACTACCTGCTGGCTCCAGCAACCTGTTTTAACAAGTTCTCTTGGAAAGTCTAATGCTTAATTTGAGAATCACCGGCAAAGAGAATGAACTATGCTCTGCTCCTTCCCATCATTGGGCCCCTGAGAAAGCTTACTTCTGATCGAACTTATCCTCCTCCCAACTCATGATATGGTGGCCCCTACTCAGCTTTTTTTTTTTTTTTTTTGGAGATGTTTTTGCTATAGGGCGTGTGCGCTCTCCAGAAAGAGAGAGACAGAGAGATAGAAAGTGAGAAATCACCTCCCAGGGGGGATGGCCATGCCACAATCCCTTCTCCTCCATTCTCCTCTCAAGATCTTGGGCATGCACGCACACGTACCCGGCGTGAGTTTAAGCCACCGGCTCCAGGACTCAAACCATGGTCAACCACAAGGGAGTTCAGCGACATAGCTATTACGCTAACTGCTGGTCCCCCCTACTCATACTTTAATGCTTGGTTCCAGGATCACCTCTTGGAGAAGGTAAGCTAACCAACCCAATCAGATTATGGAAATACACCTCATCTATGCCTCCAGGACACCCCATAGCTATTACTACAGGTAAACGTGGCCAATGTTTGGACCTGCTTGCTACCTCCTGGATTAAGATCTTCTTTTATACATCTAATAATTGAAATTACAAAGAAATTACTGACTTATTACCTGGAAATATGGTTCATTATTGCTCGGAAAACCAATGCTAAAATTTGAAGCTGCGTTTGTTCCAGAGGTCAGGGGTGATACTCCAAGAGCCAAGTTCTGAGTTGTAATATTCACATGTGCTTTGCCAGTTAGGTCTATCTTGAAGGCCAATTCATCTATTGTTTTTAAAGCTCTAAAGAAATGACAGTAACAACACTGTTACATAATAAAATGTTTTACGTAGTTGAACACACACAGTTTGTTGCAGGCCAAAAGGCAAACCAAATAAAGTTATTCAAAATTTTCTGATCTTAATGCGAATACCCACAAAATTACTCCAAACTGCAATAATACTGAATAAAATAGCACCTCACAGCGATGAATGCATCCTCACGAGAAGTACCTGCTTTAGGGGAAATCAACAACTAAACCATTCTGAACATCATTTTCCATTTATCTTGGCCTTTCTCTCACTGCTGGAAAAAGTATACTCTCTACCTTATCACTCAGTGAGAATCTAAGGAAATAATGTTGTGAAAACATTCTGTAAACTGCGAGACACTATGAAAATAAACGTAATTATTATTAAGAAGACAAAGCTAGAGAATGCTTTTTAATAAATACAAAATTTTCATGAAAGAAACATGGCTGAAAAGAAGGAAATAGAAACAAGGTATACACTTTAGTATTTGTACATGAAAAAAAAAAATTGGGTACAAAGCGAATTGTTTAAAGCCAGGGACATTTTCACCTGCCCAGGAATTTTCATTTCCGAAGTGCAGTAATCGCGCAGCTGTGGCAGTCTGCGACGTATTTCATAAAGTAGTGGACTTGCAGTATACGTGAGGTATACAGAGCCCTGCCTAACTAAACCTCGAGAATTTTCAAATAAAATTGAGATACTGGATTATGCTTTTCTGGGGCTTCTTATATATCTTAGCAGGTAACACTAATCATTTTGTGAATTAAATTACTCAAGATAAATAAAGAAAGAACTTTTAAGTCATTTACTTCGTAAATGCCTTCGGAAACCATCATTACTTCTTCTAGCAATTTGAATTATGAAGGCTGGGCACAAAATATTTTGCTAGATGAGAAATTACATAACAACACAATTGTCCAATAAATCTTACTCTCCAGGAAAAAAAAAAAAAAGAAGAAAAAGAAAAATACTTACTCAGAAGAAGATTCAAGCAAGTCACTGTCTGAACTGCTTAAGATATTTGAAAATATATTCATTAGAGTTGAACCAAGTGTTAAATCAATGTTTTCTTCATTATTCACAATTCTTTTGACTTGTTCTACAATACTGGTAATATTGGCTGAAGTTAAGGTCTTCCCATCAGTAGTTAAATTTAAAATCTGATTGGCAGCTTCATTTGCTTCCTCTTTAAAAAAAATAAGAAATAACATATAAAGTTTTATCTATACAGTTCCAGGAATTCATAGTATAAGGAAGTCCCTGTGTGTACTCCCTTACCACCAGCCTCAGTAATATTTCTTTATAGCCAGAGATTAACTTCTCCATGTAGCAAGACACAAATAATTTGGAAGGATCAACTAGCACATATCTTTTGCCACAATCACTGAATTAATGCTTACAATTTAAAAATAATACAAAACATTGATCAAATATAAATTTATATATTTCAGTCTCTCTAGAATTTTACTATTCTAAATTTTCTACAAAATAAACAGAACAGAAAATTAGAAGGAAAAATAGTATTGTCTACTTTTAAATAAGTGAAGCGATCATGTTTCTAATTTTTAATACTAGAATAGAATCACATAGCAGAAGAGTAAGTCGGAAGACAGCACAAATCATGAACTATGAGGTTATTTCAGTCTGTCCTTGAGAACCAAAGAAAAGCTGCTCCCTTACTTGAACAGTTGGAGAGATCAACGGGCCCCCAAATGGCAAGAGAAGGGCTGTTAGGGCTTTGATAACTGCAAAACAAAACAAGATATTTCAAATAGCTGGCATAAATTATATTGTAGCTGATAAAATGAGATAATAAATTTTAGAATTTCCCTTGCTATCTAGGGAAGTTTCATATGAAAACTACCATACACTTAATAAATAAATAAAACTCAAACTAAAATTCTTATTGGAAAAAACTCAGCCAATATCTTAACCAAAAATATATTGGTCAAGTGCTGCATTAAGATCTTAACAGGTGGGGCCAGCAGGTGGCGAAGTGGTTAAAATGTTGGACTCCCACTAGGTCTATCAAGGTTTGAGTCTCAGGTGGCTTGAAAATCATGCAAGGTGCCCAAAATCCTGTGAGAAGGGAGAAGACGTGATTGAGGCGTGGCCACCGCTCCTGGGGGTGATTGCTTGCTTTCCCCTCTCTCTAAATTTCTCTGTCTCTCTCCTTTCTGGTGAAAGCATGTGACAAAAACCTAAAAAAAAAAAAAAAAACTCTACAGGTAAAATCTGTTTTTGATTTCATACAACCCTGTAGTGCAGATGATAACCCACATTTTTTAATATGAGGAAATAGATTTAGATAAATTAGGGAATTTTCCAAGGTCTTGCAAGCAGGAAAAGTTAAGAGTGACACGGCAAGTCCACAGAACTCTCAAGTCCTGTCTTCCTCCTTACCAAGTGTCCAGCAAAGCTGGAGCTGCAAGGTGTTTACACTCAGGCAGCTGCCTTTCTGAATTCTCCTCCCCAAGAACGCTCTCTATTTGCGAGTCAGGGAGAGGATAAACAACTGGATTTGATTCGCCTCCAGTTTCTGAGGTTTCTGTTAAACATCTAGGGAAAATCTGTAAAATAGTTTCCATTGGCAGACGGTCGACCTGGGAATGACCTTTTTAGTCCCTCTTGCTTCCTCTCCCATCTCCAACATAACCACTGCATAGAGTGAGAAAGTCTTGGATGTCAGGTGCACAGTCCGAGACTGCAAGCGCGCTGGGGTCATCTACAGACAAGGTACTTTGTCCTGGTGCCCTCCTCGGGTTTCCAAATTCTCTGATCTTTGGAAATTCCCTTTGGAGAGGGCTCAATTAACACTATCTCTCCTGGGTAAACTGTTTACCTTATTTTCACCTCCTGGAGTGCATGATTTAGACAAAGGGATTTCAGCCTTTCTTTCTAATCAATGTAGTGCATGCAAGCTGCTATGTGTCACATGCAGCCCTGGAAAGGGAAATAACATGGAACTTTGCTGGAAAGGACCGATGAACGTCTTACCATGTCCGTGTAACAATAAAGGCAGGATTGTTTTTACAGGGAAGGGAGTAGTCAGAAGCTGTAATGGATGGCCAGTGGTAGCCTTTGGGTTCCTCCTTCGAAGGACATGTTGGTACTGAAACTGAGAACAAACAAGTGAACAGTGCAAAAGCAAAATAATAACCCTACCTTATAGACATTTATTTCCTAGAATATTAAAATGTTTGATATTCAGGACTTGTAAAAATTTAGAAATTAGGAAGAATAAACATTTAATACATTTCAGAATCAAAAATTCATTACATCTTACACAACCATCAAATAAAATATACACACTTATGTGACTATAACCAGAAACTACATACTATATATTACCATTCTAATGTAAAGTCTTAGATCATATCAGTGAAATATGTTTTATGTAAGTACTATGAAAAACACTCCCATAAAAATGTAATTTAATCATTTTTAAAAGTGGAAAACCTATAAAAATCATGCCTCAATAGCATCATCACTGAGTTGTGAACATATTTTATAGAAAATCTTCTGGTTTCTCTGAGGGCATCTACTGCCTGGAAGCTTGATGGGGTGGGGGAATGGCAGGAAAGCATTTATGAGCCAACACCACCTACATGTCTTGCCCTCACCCTTCACTCTCAAGTCACCCCCCACTTTTTGTTTGAAAACTCTCTGGGTAAGTGTCATGATGTCAATGATTCAGATTCTACATTTTGAAAAATAACAAAACTTGTATCTCAGTATTGGAAAATAGCAAGTTATACCAGACTGCTGGGGACCAGTATTTCAGTCAACAAACGAAAATACAAATAACTGCCCCATCTATAGTCTGAGTTTGAACATTGTCGGGCTTTGCCTCCCCTCCTCCCCTATCTTTTTTTCTTTTCTTTCTTTTTTTTTTTTTAATTGGTAGAAACTTTTCTCCACAGGTCTACTTGCAAAGAACAATAAAATATATCATTTCAATTAAATGGTATAAGTTAAATGGCAAGGTAGATAGAGATAGCTGTCCTGGGATTCCTCAGCCTCTGAGGACAGAGATAGGACTGGTCCCTCCATGGTTTCTCAGTTAGATGTAAGTTGCCATTGATCGAGCTCATTCTTAGTGGAGAATCCTGTGTGTGAAATGGCAGCAGGTTGTGTTCTCCCTCTCCAAGAAGTCCTAGGGAAGCGAGTATTTACCAGGAAGCTTGGGAGTTATTTAATATAATTATTATGACTAGGAGTATTAGCATTTTCATTGATACATGTGTAAGGTCTCTGTCACTGTGTGTGTTGACACAGTAGAAATTGACCCACGTGTAAAGTCTCTGTCACTGTGTGTGTTGACACAGTAGAGACGGGAGGTTCCTCCTAGAAATGGCAATGCCTGCTTCTTTACTGCTCTGTGATTCTGGCCTCAGTCTGAATCACCCTATAGGCTGAGCAACAGCTGCTTCCCCACTTGAACCTCCTGAATGCACATAAGGCAGTGTTCAAGTTTCCTTTACTCCCGCTATCTACTAATGTACTGAATCATAACATAAGGATTGGGTTGTCAGGAAAGCCATGACACATTGTTGCATAGAAAACTATGGCATCACTCTCCTGATGACCTAATATAACCATATTATTATATTAGAACAACTATTTTTGTTGTCCATATTTTTGAACATTTGCTTCATTCACTCCTTCATTTACTCATTCATTTACCCAACAGATTCACTCATTCATTTACTCAGCAAGTCTTCAGGTCCTGGGGAATGTGCTTGGTTCTGGGGGCAGGTGGGAAGTGAAAGTTTAAAGAAAAATAAGATATGATCTCAAACCAGATAATATTATTTAAATAAATTATATATCAGGACCAGCAGATGGCATAATGGTTATGTCACTGGACTCCCACCTAGTTGACCACGGTTCAAATCCCAGACCTAGCAGCTTAAAACTCATGCAGACGTGTGTGTGTGCATGCCCAAAATCCTGAGAAGAGAATGGAGGGGAAGGGACTGTGGCATGGCCACCCCCCAAGGGGGTGATTTTTCACTTTCTGTCTCTCCGTCTCTCTCTGTTTCTCCAGTGAGTACACACACCCTACAGCAAAAATCTCTCTTAAAAAAAAAAAAAAGAAAGAAATTGTATCTTAGAACTTAAAGAAAAACTAGTTAGATACTACAGTCGCTAATGTGTGTATCACTAGGTTTCTGAACAGCATGAGCTGAGGTTCACAATGACATCTATTTATACATGATAATGTCAGAAAGCTTTTCACAGAAGAGGTGACTTTGTGGCTATCTTTATAAATGTGTAGGTGGGCTATCCCTGCAGCCTAGTGGTTAAGGGAGTCAGATCTTACACAGCTGATCATGTGATTCAAATCCCAGCCCCAGTGAAAAACATACCAAGGACATGCGTGTGCATGTTCAAAATCCTGACAGAATGGAGAAATAGAAGAGAAGGAATTGTGGTATGACCAGGCTTCACTGAGAGGTGCTTTCTCTCTGTCTCTCTCTGTTGGGCACATGCACCCTATAGCAAATAGGAAAATATGTAGGTGATAATCTAGTGGACAAAGAGAACAGTGAAGAACAGTGGGGCAAAGACATAGAGAGAAGGTGGACAAGAGCATGGCCCACTGGGAAATGCAAGCAGTACCAAATGCGTGGTTGGAGCTTGATATAACTGGTGTCCGGGTGAGCATTGATTCTAGGTACAAGATAATTCCCTGAACACTGGTCTACTCCAGTGAAGACACTCACACATTAACAAAAACAGGGAACATAAGAGTAGAAGATGTTTTATAATAAGAAATTACCTTTTGTAACGTTTACCTCATTAGAGTTCCCAGTTGGAAGTATAAACACTCGGTTTTGTTTTTTGTTTTTTTTGTTTTTTTTTTTTTAGATTTTTGCCATAAGGTGCATGTGCTTGCAGGAGAGAGACAGAGAAAGGGAAAGCAAGAGATCACCCCTCAGGGGGGATGGCTATGCTGCAATCCCCTCCCCTCCATTCTCCTCTTGGGATTTTGGACATGCACACACACACATGCTTGGCATGATTCCCCAAGCTGAGTTCAGGACTCAAACTTGGAAATCTAACACCTTAGCCACCACGCCACCTGCTGGCCCTCATATAAACACACTTTTCCCCTAAAGTTAAAGCCAATGATGGTCAAGGTTATTCTTGCATTTTGCTTATATTCTTGGTATTTTCATAATATGTACCTAAACTAAAGTAGAAGCTCTAATTTGCCTCCTTCATTGCCTCCTTCCTTGCCTCAGAGTCATATGTAGTAAGTATTAAGCTGAAATATATAAACACACACACGCACGTGTGTATGTGTGTGTGTGTGCGTGTGTGTATTTGTCACTCATTTTTACCAATGCACCAATATGATGAACTTCATCACCAGGAAAATATTTTCACATACACAAATAATACATAAAAGAAAAACATTTCTGTTCTTTCTTTCAATTAAACCTGAATATATAATCATATAAAAGACATATCATTAAACCTGGAACCACTTACCTACTTGCCTTACACTCACTTTATGTAGCATTAAGCCCTCATCCAGGGACTCGTTATTTTTTAAGAGTTTCTGCTGAATGGTGTTTCCTTCTAAACTGGCATTGTTGGTAGCGTTGTAAACTAAAAGGGCCCAAATCACCAACCTAGGGAAACATTTCAGATATAATTTTTGTTGTGTTAATTGGTCAGTTGTGTTTTGGTGGCAGAACTAGAATATTTGGGAGGGCTAGAACACTTGGACAATGGGACAAGGAGGGATGACCATGAAACGTTGAGACTGAAGAGATTAGCCATCATGCTCATGGGCTGTCTCTGTTGCTGCATAAAATATAGTGTAAGAAATATTCCAATATGAATGGATTTTATAGGACATCACATGTACAATTCTGTCATATCACTCTCTCACTCTCTTCTCAGAAACAGTTAATTATCTAATATTATATTAGATGTTAATATTTTATAGCATAAGCACCCAAAAGAACCATATTTGTAGTTAATTCTACATTGTTTCTTTATGTCTGAAAATAAAACATTACAATTCCAACTGAGCATTTGACTTTTGAGAGTATTAAGACTATTACTGTTTCCAAATGTGGTAGAATTTCTTCAGAAAATCAACAAATGTATATCTCCATGAAGCATTTGCAAATACTTTGTATGGTAAAAAGCTACAAAATAAGTACTCAAAATATACTCTGTATTTAGTCAGCATATTTTTGAAAAAGGTTATAAAATGGTTGATCTTAAAGATCATGAAAAGAAGATATGATAATCAAACAGACGTATTCTAATAGCCCTGTCAAAATCTTTGGTTTTTCCAATTTACAAGTAATACAAATTTTTGTCCAATTGTAATCACAGGTATGTTTACATACAGCAGAAATCAAAACTATTAATTCAACATGAGAGTAAAATAAAATGACATTTTTTTTTGGATAAAGGGAAAAATTTTCCCTTAAATGTAAAATATCTGGGTTTGTAATACAACCCTTCATCTTTCTAATCTGTGGGAAAATGGATAATATAACATAAGATAAAGGATTACATTGTCAAGATCAGTTATTGCCTATAAACCAAAGACAAAGCTGCAGCACTGCTTTTTGGCTTTTTATTTCTTTCTTTGTTTGTTTTGTTTTGCTTTAAGTAACTATGGAATACTCAGCGAGAAGTGAGTGATACATTTTATTTATGAAATTCTGTGACTATTAATAACTTAAACAGAGCACTAATAAACTTGTGGTCCTAAAGAATTAAAAGAAATATGTGAAATATGTTCTATTTAAGTTTAGATGAAACTAAAGAATAGCTCTATTTCCCACCCCCACCTCCGTGAATATTTGTGCTAATAGGAAGAAAAAAAATGCTCTACTGTTCTCATAATTTACTTCAAAAAGCTATTTATCTCTAAAATTATCAACTTCTTTAGATTTATATACAAGTCATATTTCAGGATGAAGCAATAATAGATGTGAATATAATGTGAACTATGATATCCTAATAATTCTTGAAATATTCCATTAAAAAGTATCTCTTGATTAAACTTCTATTTTAAGATAACTTTTGTCACTCTAGTTACTGAGAACTTTTCAGGTGGGAATGGGACCTTTCACATCTTTTGAATATTCAGAGCATAATCACTACAATACGGTGTGGATGGTATTGAATATCCAAACTCAGCAATTCAAGTATAACCCTGCACTTTCACAGGTCTTATCTGTGTTGTTTTCCTCTCTCATCCTGAAAACTGAAACTATTTTATGGTTCTGCAAAGGCATGTTCTATCTATTGTCACTATCAGGCATTCATTAGTTGAATAAACCAGTCTCTGTGGCTTTGGTTTCCTGTCTGTGTAGGCGATAGGGTATGATAGCATTATCTGAAGCTATGGTCTGTGTTAAGTGATAAAATCGAATTGAAAGGAATAGTTTGGAAAAAGAATGTAAAACTAGTAGTATGTGGTTTTGAGGTAAACTATGAGAGACTATAAAAGCTCATCAATGAGCATACGAGCAGTGGAGAACAGAAAAAAAAGAGGGGCTATAAAAATTAAATTCAAAACATGCCAGGAGTTTATATCACAAACAAACAAGAAATCCTACATGTGTGACTTTTCTTACGTCGTTGACTTAGTTTATGCTCTCTGCAGTTTGCTGTGAAATGACACATTGGTTTGACAAACCACGAAATCTAGATTTGGGGAATTTAAACATCTTTTAAGCAAGAATTTCTGAGGTGCTGACATATGACGGTACTTCAAAAAGTTTGTGGAAAACTGAATTAAAGTACACATTTATTTTGGTCCCAAACTTTTTGAAATCCATGTAATTTTTTTCATAATACGTATTTTCCATGAACTTTTTGAAGACATCCTCATATATTAATGATGGCTTACTTCACTATTACCAGGTAAGAACTATAGGAAGTAAACTAAAAAGATGCTGTCTTCCTCAAGAGTGTATACTATTGGTGATACTCCAAGCTAGGATGTCCCAATTGCTAGACTAAGTGCTCAGCAAGGAAATTGAAATTGTTACAAAATTGTTACTGAAAGCTCAATATGATCACAGTAAGGGTTGGAAAAGAAATTATCTGTGGGTTGGCTTAGTGGCAGAGTGGTGACACAGCTCAAATGATGTTGAATCCACATGGCAGACCCTGCATTTAGTTCTCCAGCCAACCTGTGCATTCTGGATGGGTGCCATGACCCTGGTTGGCTTAGAAGGTGGGACTGGGGGGAACAACAGTGTGAGATCCTACTGAGGTGCTTGCTTTTCTTATTCTCTCTTTCAATCATAAAATAACTTTTTGGCTAAATATAGGATAAAAATTCCTGTCACCTTCAAAGATACACTATTCACATATGTCTTTCTATTTTCAGATCATAAAGGAAAAAGAACTGAACAGAACAGCCAGAAAATGAAAACAACTTTGCCTAATCAGATAGCTCACTTGAGTCTGTTGGATATATATAAAAATGATGAGTTTCCTTGTAACATTAAAAACATTTGTCTTTATTCTATTATTTATTTCTATTCAACCTTTGTTCTAATGCTGAATAGAAAAAAGAAACAAAGTAACACTCTCTGGTCAATTCTCCCAGGAAATTTTATTTTTATCTTCTCATAGAGAGAATATATCACCTGAAACAAAGTTTACCTTAATCATCAGGGTTGTATATCCATGACACCAATTCAGTCCATTGAAACTGAACTAGACTTATAAAAACATTTGCTTTTCAATGAATTTTTAAAAATACTCTATAGGGGGATCAGCAGATGGCATAACTGTTATGTTGCTGGACTATCATGTAGTTAGTTCAAGTCCGAACCCAGTGGCTTAAATTCATGCCGAACACATGTACATGCATGTCCAAAATACCAAGAGGAGAATGAAGGAGGAGGGATTGTGGCATGCCATTCTCCCTGGGAGGGAGGGGAGATGATTCCTCACTTTCTCTCTCTCTCTGTGTCTCCTGGGATCAATGAGCCCTATATCAAAGATCTCTCTTAAAAAAAGAAAAAAAAAATTCTATAGGGATGCAATATACTACCTGAATATAATTAAATTTATCCCATTTAATAGGTTAGGTTGTTTTTCATTTAATGGCATTCTGAACAGCTGGCTCTTATAGGCCGGTTGGTTAAATATATATATGTTGGATGTCTCATCCATTAAATTACCTGCAGGGTCAAATCATCATCTAATACAAATTTCAAAATGAAGACTCCAGAAAATTAGCTCATGATTTTAAATGCTAAAATTGTTTGAGCACGTATTATCCTTTTATTAGATGCTATCATATATGAGCACTTAAAACTATTTTCAGGTCAGCCATAGTGATGATATTAAAACCATGTGGGAAAGTTTTGGGTATGCATCCCAAGGTTGCATCTGTACATACTAGGCACACATGTGTTTGCCCATGACCCTGACTGGCTGAGGTTGAGGGTAGACAGCAGCATGAAGACCCTGCTAAGGATGCCTGTCTTTCTGTCTCTCTCTCTCTCAGAAGAACTAGAAGAAACTTTTTAAAATAAAATGAAATTATGTTCTTTGAAGATCTCTTCAAATTTTCAAATAAGTGGCAGTAAATTATAATTTAAAAAGTGGAAATACTAAACACAATAATTCACCCATTTTAAATATTCTGTTTCTGAATTATTTGTCATCAGATATACATTTCTGCTCCATCTGTTACATTACGGTTTTAATTACAGGAAGAAAAACAGCATGCACTAGTGCTAGAGAAATCATTTAAATGGGCTATGTAATCAAAATTTTTTGTCTTTCTTTCTCTCCTAGACAAAGCAGTGTACATGAGGAAGAACATTACCCTTTCTGCAAGATTTGGTCAGTGTTACCTTTGATCATTCACAATGCTTCTCTTGACTTTGATCTTGTCCTCTCCTGTGCTCAGGTGAAAACTAAAAATGTAAATACATACAGTTATTATCAACCGTCTCTGTGGCTTTGGTTTCCTGTCTGTGTAGGCGATAGGGTATGATAGCATTATCTGAAGCTATGGTCTGTGTTAAGTGATAAAATCGAATTGAAAGGAATAGTTTGGAAAAAGAATGTAAAACTAGTAGTATGTGGTTTTGAGGTAAACTATGAGAGACTATAAAAGCTCATCAATGAGCATACGAGCAGTGGAGAACAGAAAAAAAAGAGGGGCTATAAAAATTAAATTCAAAACATGCCAGGAGTTTATATCACAAACAAACAAGAAATCCTACATGTGTGACTTTTCTTACGTCGTTGACTTAGTTTATGCTCTCTGCAGTTTGCTGTGAAATGACACATTGGTTTGACAAACCACGAAATCTAGATTTGGGGAATTTAAACATCTTTTAAGCAAGAATTTCTGAGGTGCTGACATATGACGGTACTTCAAAAAGTTTGTGGAAAACTGAATTAAAGTACACATTTATTTTGGTCCCAAACTTTTTGAAATCCATGTAATTTTTTTCATAATACGTATTTTCCATGAACTTTTTGAAGACATCCTCATATATTAATGATGGCTTACTTCACTATTACCAGGTAAGAACTATAGGAAGTAAACTAAAAAGATGCTGTCTTCCTCAAGAGTGTATACTATTGGTGATACTCCAAGCTAGGATGTCCCAATTGCTAGACTAAGTGCTCAGCAAGGAAATTGAAATTGTTACAAAATTGTTACTGAAAGCTCAATATGATCACAGTAAGGGTTGGAAAAGAAATTATCTGTGGGTTGGCTTAGTGGCAGAGTGGTGACACAGCTCAAATGATGTTGAATCCACATGGCAGACCCTGCATTTAGTTCTCCAGCCAACCTGTGCATTCTGGATGGGTGCCATGACCCTGGTTGGCTTAGAAGGTGGGACTGGGGGGAACAACAGTGTGAGATCCTACTGAGGTGCTTGCTTTTCTTATTCTCTCTTTCAATCATAAAATAACTTTTTGGCTAAATATAGGATAAAAATTCCTGTCACCTTCAAAGATACACTATTCACATATGTCTTTCTATTTTCAGATCATAAAGGAAAAAGAACTGAACAGAACAGCCAGAAAATGAAAACAACTTTGCCTAATCAGATAGCTCACTTGAGTCTGTTGGATATATATAAAAATGATGAGTTTCCTTGTAACATTAAAAACATTTGTCTTTATTCTATTATTTATTTCTATTCAACCTTTGTTCTAATGCTGAATAGAAAAAAGAAACAAAGTAACACTCTCTGGTCAATTCTCCCAGGAAATTTTATTTTTATCTTCTCATAGAGAGAATATATCACCTGAAACAAAGTTTACCTTAATCATCAGGGTTGTATATCCATGACACCAATTCAGTCCATTGAAACTGAACTAGACTTATAAAAACATTTGCTTTTCAATGAATTTTTAAAAATACTCTATAGGGGGATCAGCAGATGGCATAACTGTTATGTTGCTGGACTATCATGTAGTTAGTTCAAGTCCGAACCCAGTGGCTTAAATTCATGCCGAACACATGTACATGCATGTCCAAAATACCAAGAGGAGAATGAAGGAGGAGGGATTGTGGCATGCCATTCTCCCTGGGAGGGAGGGGAGATGATTCCTCACTTTCTCTCTCTCTCTGTGTCTCCTGGGATCAATGAGCCCTATATCAAAGATCTCTCTTAAAAAAAGAAAAAAAAAATTCTATAGGGATGCAATATACTACCTGAATATAATTAAATTTATCCCATTTAATAGGTTAGGTTGTTTTTCATTTAATGGCATTCTGAACAGCTGGCTCTTATAGGCCGGTTGGTTAAATATATATATGTTGGATGTCTCATCCATTAAATTACCTGCAGGGTCAAATCATCATCTAATACAAATTTCAAAATGAAGACTCCAGAAAATTAGCTCATGATTTTAAATGCTAAAATTGTTTGAGCACGTATTATCCTTTTATTAGATGCTATCATATATGAGCACTTAAAACTATTTTCAGGTCAGCCATAGTGATGATATTAAAACCATGTGGGAAAGTTTTGGGTATGCATCCCAAGGTTGCATCTGTACATACTAGGCACACATGTGTTTGCCCATGACCCTGACTGGCTGAGGTTGAGGGTAGACAGCAGCATGAAGACCCTGCTAAGGATGCCTGTCTTTCTGTCTCTCTCTCTCTCAGAAGAACTAGAAGAAACTTTTTAAAATAAAATGAAATTATGTTCTTTGAAGATCTCTTCAAATTTTCAAATAAGTGGCAGTAAATTATAATTTAAAAAGTGGAAATACTAAACACAATAATTCACCCATTTTAAATATTCTGTTTCTGAATTATTTGTCATCAGATATACATTTCTGCTCCATCTGTTACATTACGGTTTTAATTACAGGAAGAAAAACAGCATGCACTAGTGCTAGAGAAATCATTTAAATGGGCTATGTAATCAAAATTTTTTGTCTTTCTTTCTCTCCTAGACAAAGCAGTGTACATGAGGAAGAACATTACCCTTTCTGCAAGATTTGGTCAGTGTTACCTTTGATCATTCACAATGCTTCTCTTGACTTTGATCTTGTCCTCTCCTGTGCTCAGGTGAAAACTAAAAATGTAAATACATACAGTTATTATCAACCTTATTCACTGCATCAGTGACAAAATTTGAGAAGATGAAAAAAAAAAAAAGAGTTAGAATGGACATTCTAAAGCACTATTTCCAAATGCTTCTTGTGAGATTCCAGTTCTCACACGAAGCTGGCCTACTGCATGTTCTTGTTTTCTTTTGAAGACTCTCAATGCACATTAGTATTCCTAGAACCTGAGACTTTCGGATAAAAAACCCTACTTCACTTTGCAGAATAACCTACTTTCTGAACCTGACAACTTGACCCTTTTTCAATGTACAGAAAAGTTAGTATTTACTCTTTTATCACTTTTAGTACGTTAGAACATAATCCAGTGATTCAGTTATATCTGTCTATCTATATGCAAACACAGTTTATTTAAAAACATAAAAATTGATTTGGGAGTACATGTTGATTATTTTTAAATGACTAGTAGGCATGATTTAAAAAAGTTTAAAACCACTGCTGCAGGGACCAGTGGATGACGTAATGGTTGCATCACTGAAGTTCTGTATAGTTGACCACAGAGTCCTGGACCTGGCCGCTTAAAACTCACACCTGGTGCATATATATGCATGCCCAAAATCCCAAGAGGAGATTGGAGGAGAAGGGATTATGGTGTGACCATCCTTCCTGGGGGGTGATTTCTCGCTTTCTGTCTCTCTGTCTCTCTCTGTGTCTTTGGCAAGCACATGCACCCTATAGCAAAAATCTCTCTCAATAAAAAGAAAAAGAAAAAAACCACTGCTGCAGCATTGAAGTTTTCTGTACAACAACAACAACAAAAAAATACAATAAAGAGTTATTTTGGAAAGATTTACAAATATGGCACATTTGTGTAAGTGTGTATTTGTATGCGTGGGTAGGTATAGTCAGAGACAGAGAGTAACTTTAAATTAGACATTATGGTACTTTTTCTCAGTTCATTCATTCTGTCATTTACCTGATATTAACCACATAAACGGTGTAGTTCCAATTCTGAAAGGTTGAATTGAGCTAAAAAACACAATAGAAAAGGTTGAGTTTTTGTAACACTTTTTTTTCCTCTCAATCTGAATGTTTCTCCCTTCCCAAAAGATAAGTTATTATTGGAATAAGACCCTGGGAAATTCCTAGGAGACCTAAAGGAGTGAAAGGTAAAGATAACAGTTACTGGGTCATTGTAAGAACTTGACAATTTTTTTTTCCGGGTCTCACAACCAGTGAGATAGGTGTGGCCCCTCCAAGCCCCACTGCCTCACATATAAGGAAACAGAACTTCACACAGATGAAATGGCTTGCCTGAGGTCAGCCCAAGCATGTCTGTCTGCAAACACTATCATTTCCTGTGTAATCAATATTTCAAGAAGATTAGCACAGTAAATACCTTCCCTACTCTTCATTTAACACTCAGAAGTGCAATAAAACAAGTTTTCTAGTAATTCCTATCCCATGAGAATATTAGTAATAAGAAAAATGATTAATTCACAACACGAAAGCATTTTTAAAAAAACAAACAAAAAACAAGTTCAACTTTATTGAACTCTGTTAATTTTTGTGCAGTTATTTAACAGTCTTTGCAGGTCTTAGAACCAGACTTTTTTCTTCATAGAGAGATTTTTGCTGTAAGGTGCATGTGCTCACTGGAGAGACAGAGAGACATCAAGCAAGAAATCATCCCCCATGGGGAGAGGCGGGCAAGGAATGGCCACATCGCAATCTCTTTTCCTCTATTGTTCTCTCAGGACTTTGGGCACACACACACACCTCACACAAGCACTCAAGTTTAGTTTTAAACCAGTGAGCTTGGTACATGAACTGTGGTCGACTACGTGGGAGTCCAGCAACATAACTATTACGTTACATGCAAAGCAATTATGGATACCAGAGATAATATGGAAACAGGACCAGAAGTGGGAGGATGTGTGTGTGTGGGAGGAGATCAAGGGGAAAAAAAATCAACAGACTAAAAAAAAAAATTATCTGGTGATGACCTTGTGTAAGGTAATTTCTTTAACTGGAATAGCATACAGGATATTGATGTTGAAAACATTTATTTTCAATGTTGTAAAGTGATTGAATTAAAAAATGTCAAAAATATAACAAAAATATGTATAGGTCTAATAGTAAATAAAGATACCTACAAATATTTATTTCCATTTGGGTGCTACTTTTCTTATTTCAGACTGATAGCCTACTAGGGTGTTTCTTATTCTTTATCCGTTACTTCTCTTCCTATGCATATGCACAGCACCTGACTCATTTACAGCTATTCATACATTTAGAATTAACAGTATCTGTGTTTCAGTATGATCTGCAGACTCCATTATCTAAATCTTTTCCATATTTCAAGAAGCTAAAGGTTCAAAACAAAAAAGGAAGTTTATAAGTTTACTTACCCACTCGGCCACCTTGCTCTGTACTTTTACCTCAGAGTGACGAAGGATGTTTTGAATCACTACGGATATTCTATAGATAATTCCATCTGCCCATTGGAAATAGGATTAACTCATTAATTGTATTTTAAACTAATGATCAAGCAATTTAAATTTATAATCACATAATTTTATAGAAGTTAAGAGAAGGACCTTCTACATAGGCACAGAAAATTTCTGAGATATTCTTGTGGTAAGCTTGTTGATATTTGCAACTTTATAGAAATAGTTATCAATTAGTTTACTCTTACAGATAATTCATTGCTCCTAAATTATTATTTACACATGCTCCTTTGTAAACTGTTTATAAATTTCTGATATCTACAGTGCAAAAGCTGGTGAGTTTTTTCCATAAATAATTTGATTTCTTATAATATGAAATTATGCTTTTTTCTATATTATAAAGATAGATAAAGATCTTGGGACCTGAAAACTTAAATGAGATAATGAGCAGAAATTAACTTGAAAAAGAACAGGCATATACATATTTTCTGTCATTAACCTCATTTCTCTCTTTCCTCTCTTTTCCCTCCCTAATAAAGTACTTACTTCTACTAAACTGTAGGGCTGAATTTCAACAGATTTTTCATCAACATTTCTTTTTCTTTCTTTCTTTCTTTCTTTCTTTCTTTCTTTCTTTCTTTCTTTCTTTCTTTGAGGAGTTTTTGCTATAGGGCACGTGCACTTGCCAGAAAGACAGAGAGAGACAGAGATATAGAAAGCGAGAAATCACCCCCCAGGGGGGAAGGCCACTCAGTAATCACTTCTCATCCATTCTCCTCTCGGGATCTTGGGCACGCACTCAGTGTGAGTTTAAGCCACCAGGTCCAGGACTCGAACCACGGTTGACTACATGGGAGTCCAACAATATAGCTATTATGCCAACTCCTGGTCCCATCAACATTTCTTAAATATGGTCATTTATACCGCAGTAGAGAGGGAAAATATTTGCAAGTATATTTTCATTGGAATGACTTGCTTTAGGAAGAAAACTAGAATGTAAAAGTTTTTGCTTTTTTCCTTTGAGGACAATCTTTAAAGTAGCCTGATTTTTTTTTTTTCCCCATAAAAATCAAACTCACCAACACAGGTTTGCTAAATTTCTCTACAAGTGTGTAAAGTGAACTCAAGGTAATAAACAAGTGGGCCAGCTAGTGGGAGGGTGCTAACGCATCCAGGAAGGTCCTGGGTTTGTGTCTCAAGGCCTCCATGCACATGCTGGACATGAATGCATACAATTAAGTCTGGCTGAGCCTGGAGGTGGATCATGGCATGAAGACCCAATTAGAAGTACTTCAAAATGTTTAAATCTCCATGGTTTTCAATCATCTTTTTTTTCATGCTATGTTTAGGTATGTCTTAAGTAAGCTCTGCATAGAAATTTAGAACTATATGATGAAGACAATGTTGATAAATATAATGAAAGAAAATTGTAGGGAGGCAATAGAAAAAATTACAAAGATGTACCACTAGAAGCTTCCAAATATATCAAAATGCAAATTCTAGTCCCGTTAGTAAATGATTGTTTTCCCAGTAAAGAAGTCACAGATCCAAGTAAATAATAGAAACGCCACCCTTCCATATAATAACATGTATAAATACATATAGGGGCCAGCAGGTGGCGTGGTAATTAAGGCACTAGATTTCCACAAGGCTGACTGCAGTTTGAGTCCTGGACTCAGTGGCATATGCTTTCTCACTCTCTCTCTCTCCCTCCCACTCTCTCTTTCTCTCTCTCTCTGGTGAGTCCACATGTCTTGTAGCAAATTAAAAAATGATAATAATGATAAATGAAATTAAATAATTCAAAAAAACTGTATGAAAAATATTTAAAGGAACATATAAAAATGGTAAATCAGGCAAAAAAATTTATTTTTTTTTGGAGAGTTTTTCGCTATAGGGTGCGTGCACTCGCCAGACAGACAGAGAGAGACAGAGAGACAGAAAGTGAGAAATCACCCCCCAGGGGGGATGGCCATGCCGCAATCCCTTCTCCTCCATTCTCCTCTCTAGATCTTGGGCACACACGCACATGCGCCCGGCATGAGTTTTAAGCCACCGGGTCTGGGACGCGAACTGCGGTCGACTATGTCAGAGTCCGTCGACTATGTCGGAGTCCAGCGACATAGACATTACACTAACTGCTGGTTCCCAGGCAAAAAATTTTGACACTCAAAATCTCAAGATATTAAATCACAGAAATTCTGAATGATTGAGAAGAAATTTAAATTGCAGAGGCCTGAGAATTATTTTAGGAACCTGGAAATGATCTGTGAGCATAGAAGTCTCTAAAAAGATTACAAAAATGTAAATTTTGAAAAAACTATGCAAATTAGTTCATTTGCACCTAAATAACCTCCTATTCCATTTTTTCCAAGAATTTCTTGATGTCTCCTGTACACTGATGCTTATAGAGTATATGAGAAGCTACCACTAGATGGAGTCCTGAAGCATGCTTTTGTTATGAATAGTAATCATTCTCTTTCTTAGAAAAACAGTGCAAAATACTGACAATCGGGACTTTTAATCTCTGACATTTCTGAAATTTTATGGAAACATCTGAATATTTAATATATTCTTATGAACTTTTTCAATGTTTCCTGCCCCACTGTTTTTGGTTTTTCGTTTTTATAAATGAGAAAGATATCTAATATCAGTCTACAAATAGTCCTTTCCCTAGAGTTTAATGACTTATAGCATACAAATGTGTTACTATATCAAAAGACCTAGCATCGGGACCAGCAGACGGCGTAATGGCTATGTCGTTGGACTCCCATGAGGTTGCAATTGAGTCCGGGACCTGGTGGCTTAAACTCACGCTGGGTGCATGTGCGTGTGTGCCCAAGATCCCGAGAGGAGAAAGGAGGAGAAGGGATTGCAGCGTGGCCATTCCCCCTAGGGGGTGATTTCTCGCTTTCTGTCTCTCTGTCTCTCTCTGTATGTCTGGCGAGCGAACGCGCCCTATAGCAAAAACCTCTCTCCAAAAAAAAATACTGAGTGGAGCCTAAAATACTTATTTAAAATTTTGTGATAGTGTAGATAAGCAATCATGAGAAATGCTCCAGTGAACTGTCAAAGTGAACTTAAATGCCCACTGAATAGCTGTGATGGGTTTAGGATTACACAAAATCATTGGCTTGAACAATGCCATTGGAGGACACACACCATTTGGGAACACTGGTGCAAACTTTCCCATGCTATTAGAGCAGTCAAGTCTTTTTTGTACAGATGTAACAACTCCGTTGGAGTCTCAACACAAAAGCTATTTGCAAATCTTCATGAGTTTCAGAGATTTCAAAGGATGCATGTATTATCCTAATAATGACATCCAGGCCAAATGAACTCATGATAGACATTTCTTAGAATAAGTTTTTAAGAATATATCTATTTTGGGGTCCAGTGTGGAGGTTAAGGCAGCTAGGTCCCACATGGCCAACTGCATGATTTGAGTCTTGGACCGGACAGCTTGAAAAACACACTGGATATGTATGCATGCATGCCCCAAATCCCAAGATGAGAATGGAGGATTAGGGATTGCATGTGACCATTACCCTGAGAGGTGATTTCTCATTTTCCTTTGCTGTGCCTTTTTCTCTTTCTAGTGAGCACATGCACCCGATAGCAAACTAAAAATAAATAAATAATTATATATATGTAATATATCCATTTTCTGATTAGGTAACTCTTCCAGTCACAAAGAACTTCAATGGAGAAGTTGCTGTCTGTTATTATAGATGTAGAATCAAAGTCAAAATCAAATAATATTCTTTTTTCCAATTAATCCTTCCTGTTTTCAGACTTAAGACTCTTTGCAGTTTCTTTGAGGATATAGACAAGGACACTATTCTATATTCAGGTGTGTAAAATATATATTTGAAAACATACATTTGAATGGATGAACATTAAATAAAAAATCTGAGCCAGCCCCTTAGAACAGTAGTTAAGTCCTGTGCATAAGAAGCTGATCTCACACGGACAATTCCAGCCCCTGTTATTTGAAAAGCATGCCAGGTGCTTTGTCCAAAATTCTGAAAGGTTGGAGAAATAAAGGAAAAAGGATTGCAGAGTGGGTGTACCCCTTTCAGGAGTTCTCTCTCTCTCTCTCTCTCTCTCTCTCTCAGACATATGCATCCTTTGGCAATAAAAATAAATCAAATATTGTTTTCCATTTGAGATGATTCCTTGGAACTGATAATGAAGTGATTATGATAGGATAGCGGCATCTACAATTTGACTGGCATCCTACAAATCCTACAGATGCAAGTTCTTTCAGATATCTGGCATATAAAGCTAGAGTGACTGTTGGACCCATTCAAATATTCTGAAGATGGGGGCCAGCAGGTGGCATATTGGTACTGAACTCTCAAGTGGCAGACCGTGATCTGAGTCCTGGACCCAGCAGCTTGAAACTCATGCCAGGTGCACGTGCGTGCATACCTAAAATCCCGAGAGGAGAATGGAGGAGAAAGGATTGCAGTGTGGCCATCCCCCTGGGGAGTGATTTCTCACTTTCAGTATCTCTGTCTCTCTTTTCCTCTCTGTAGAGTTCATGTGCTCTATAGCAAAAATCTCTCAAAAACAAACAAACAAACAAAAATCTCTGAGAATGAATCTGTTACTTGAAGAACTAAACCTATGTGAAAAACTGAAAGGGTTGTTAGAATTTGTACTTGCAGGTGGCATGGTGGTTAAGAGCACTGGACTCCCATATGGTCAACCGCAGTTTAAGTTCCAGACATGGTGGCTTGCTTCCTCATTTTCTCTCTCTCTTTCTATCTCTCTGGCTCTCTCTAGTCGAATTAAAATAAATAAATAAATAAATAAATGGATAAAGTTAAATAAAATAATTCTTAAAAAAGAATTTGTACTTGCAAACTAGATTTCTATTAAAAAACAATCACTCCTCATGGAGTTAATTCCTTACTGAGGCTGCTTCTGCTAACCTCACAAAAGTTTTCTATTCAGTAGCACTACAGTAGTATCTCAAGCACCGAAGATACGGTTTGGAATGAAAATAATTGTCCAAGAGCTTTTCTTGGGAATGTAATGGAAAAGGCACAAAGATCCATTACTTTTGGAAAACCTAGATTATCCATGATGTTTTGAAAATTGTGAAAAGCTGCTTAAAACATAAGACTCTAATAATCTGAGGTCTCAGATATAATACCTATTGAAAATAACAGAAAGAATTTTACATAGATAAATAGGGACATTTCACAAAAGCCAAGAAAGCAAAATTCATTGATACATAAGGACATATACCTGGTTCTCAAATAATCTTTCCACACAGGCATACCATTATCAGTGATCAGTAAGTTTCTGATGATCCAAAGTTTAAAAGGCTGGATAAGGTAGGAAATAGATTTGACAGTTGGGCCCATCTTTCTTACAGTGAACAAAATGGAATTCTCTAATATATCAGATCATGAGCCTGAGAATGTTTACCGTATCAGTTTCCCAGGGAAAAAAATTGTTGATAGCATGTGAATGATTTTATATAGTACCGGACATGGCAAAATAGCATTTGTTCATAAGGTGAAATAGTAATTCTCTTTTCAATTAGTTTAAATGTGTTTATATCAGAAAATACTTAATTATATTACAGCCTGTCTCTAATACTTTGTTTCTCTTCCTTTTTAAAAAGATAACAAATACTTCAGGCTTTGGGTTGTGAGAGGGCGATAGGATACAGGAAGAGTAATAGGGAGAACTGAAAACACATTGTTTACGTTATACTTACTTTCACAGTTCACTTCTGTTTATAACAAGCAGTACTGGTTTCAGTTTATAATAGTAAAATTAATTTTCCTATGTAAATATGTGTGTAAGTAAAAAAGTGTCAATTTGGGAGAAAAAACATTAAGTAAATATTAATAGTATAGGTTTTCAGGATATGGTAAAAATTGTTAACATGGTATAAAATTTTGAGTATACAATTTTGAAACTCTTTCAAATGATGACTTTTTAATATTTTTAAATGCTGCAATTATATTTTCATCAAAAATCATCTGAATTAGATTCTTCCTGAATGTGGTCAAGATAAACCATTTTAACTGGTTTTAACATTTGCTTGCTTTGTTGAAACTCCAAGGAAGGTTATGACGCAGAGAGAGATAGACTGAACAAGGCTTTCTTCAAGAATGTCAGAAATGACATGATTGAGTGAATGCAGCTCCACTCTACCAAGTTGAGGGCTCAGAAACACCATATAAGTGTTCTTGGGCAGTAGAGGATGTGCCAGTCCTAGAGGCAGAATGCCACAGAGGCTCTTTGTATGTTCATACAAAGAGTGAAATGCTTGCTGAGAATTATAATATTCCCATCACTGGCTGGAGTCCATGTGAAATATGTTCTGGAAACTTCAGCTGTTCTTGCTTTCTTGGGGGGTTGCTGGAATTTTTGCTCTGTCATAAATCTCCTTGGTGTAACTACCAGAATAACCATAAACACTTCCCTGAATCGATGTCTTTATAACCCTAATGAAATTTATATCTATGTTCCATGTAAAATATTCCATACTTCCAACTTAAATGTCCTTACAGAGGAAGTTGATATAACCTCTGAAGCCAAAAAGAAAAAAGAACTATGTGGATTTCTTTTCGCTGGGTTTTGGTCCCTAGTGATATATTACAGATGTCTTGGCCTCATAAGCTAAATGATTGGGGTTTAGAAAATTCCTTTGTTTCTAATATTTCATATTTGAGAATATTACTGTATTTGAGACATTAGTGTGGTCACCTGACTGGAATTTCTCCTTACTAGAAGAAACTGAAATCACTAACTCTGAATTACCAAAAGCCTGTGTATGTGACCCATAGATAGCAGATTAAATAATAACTCAATTCACCTGGTTTTTTTCTCTGTTCATTTCTTACCTTTATAATAATTGTATCTCCAAAATACAAATATAATAAATAGAAAATATATGTGGAGAAAAAAGTCAAGGAGTATTGAAAGTTACTTGAATTTTTGTTCTTCAAAAATTGATGATTTTATTGATATCTAATCACAATATAACCATTTTTCTTCAACAAATAAAAACAGAGAGCAAAGTATTACATGGAAATTGATTAATGTATCATAGGTATATAAATATACATTTGACTTTACTGAAAAAGTAAATTCCTAAAATTACTTAGATTTTTTTTCCTTTAAATATTAGTTTTCTGAAGAGAATAATCTGACAAAAATATCATGGAAAAATAGGATTTTTCCCTCAGCTCTTTATTACAGTGCAAAATAATTTCTTTAAATAAGAGCCTTTCTCTTAAGTTTTCTTTTGAAGGAAACTGTAGCCAAAAGTACAGAGAGAAGTACTGGAAATGAACCCATTCCACTGGTCACGAGGATGGAGAGCTCTAAAGGGTCAAGGGATGGTCACTTATTGGACTAGTCTTGCAAATATACTAATGTACCGAGTGACAGCAGTAACAGAACTTTGCTGAAACATTAGTTATTCCCACGCTTAGATAACCATTTTTCTATTATGTTAGACATACTACAAATATAAAAGTTAATGATTTCTTACCATCCGTTTGTATATCGATTCTATTAGTAACAGGCATGTTAGTGGGTGGTGTGGTACTAGGAGAATTTACAGTAGCTGGTAATAAAGATGAGAAAGAGATAATTTTGCAAAGAGCACATGACAGTTAATATGGATAAGTAATCTATAATTAACGCATGAAAATATACAGAGGAGGAATGGAAACCATTTCTTGCCATTAAACTCAACAGACCCCAAGGTTACAATGCATAAAATAAAGCAATGCTTTCTATGGCACATTAAGAATCAGTTTAAATGGCCTTCAGCGCCCTGATTGTGTGTGAGGGTCGGGATCTGGCACAAAGGGACTGGAGAAGGGACCTTTAGATTCTAAACCAACCTTCTATTATACACTGGTAATCACACAGCAAGTTACTAAACCTTTCCAGAACTGACTTTTCTGAGTTGGTGAAAAGAAAAGGTTATAGCAGGCAGGCTATATGAACCTACAGCTTGAAGTTATTTAAACTAAGTCAATCTGCTGATATACTCAGATCAGGGACATAAAATCTTGGAAAAAAATCTCTCTCTTCTGAGAATATAAATGTAGGAAAAACAAGAGAAAGATAGATAGACTAAATTAAATCAATTGTTTAAAGATTCCAGTAACTTGACTAAACAGTGATGAATAAAAGGCATTTCACTAGGGTATTGATTGATGATAATATCAGAGAAATAATTTCTCCGAAAGGAAAACAAAGATAAATGGGTTGCAACCCTTTCTACTTCCTGCCGTTACCACACCAAACCGCAGAAGAGAGCCTGCATTACTACTCACTCCGTGTCACTTCTAATTCCTGTCACCTTTGTGCTATGACCCTCTTAATAAATGATCAAATTTTTACAAAAGGCATGGTCATGATTCTTAATGTGGTACATAGAACATGCTACTTCAGATTTAAGTATTTAATAGAATGAATGGATGAAAAGGGTCATGGGTAATTAGCAGTAGCAATGATAAAATTAAAACAAAAGCATATTTGATTATTAAAAATGTAACTTTAAGTAGTGGCATGCAACTACTTAGTACATAATATGTCATTGGAATATAGACCATGATATAGTCATTAAGCATCATAATTAACATAGTTACATTAAAATTGGTTTAGTAGAATAATTTTTACCCTAAGATCTAAGTTTTATTGCATATCATACTTGTAAATTATTGTCTCATGGCTTTATTTTAAACTTAACTGATTAGTCAACTTAATTTTTCCCCTTGTTTCATAGACATAAACACTTCTTCAAAATGCTAAATGACTATATTTATACCGCACCTTTGCAATATTCTTGAGAAGGAATAGAGAGGGAAAAATTAAATCAACTCTTATTTAATAGCATATGCTCCTTCCCACTTGAAAAAAAAAATAAGTCCTTTATGTAAATGTGGTCATCTAGAGGGTGAATGCATTCTTTCTCCACACTGAATGTACTGCAAACCCACACAACCCAAACACATCCAGAAATTTTTCTGTTATGTTGGTTCCTGCCTTTCCAAGTAAAACTTAGATAAAAATCCAAACAACGACAACTACAGTACATTATCCAAAATAGTAAGCAGGAAGTACAGAAACTCCAGAGGATGCCGCTGTCTCCCTACCTTGACAGAGGGTCCCCAGATCTGCACAGTTGGCTAGTTCCGCTGCCGGGAGTGGAATCAAGTAGGAACCTTGATTGACACAGACGGGATACATAAATTTGAGTTATGATTTACTGATATCATCCAGGAAAAAAAATATCATGAGTCATATGGTTGGTGTAATCAGAGCAGCCCTGAAAGAGTCCACCAGTAATAATCCAGTATTAGAAAGTTGCTTAAGATCTCTCTGTGCCTTAATCTTATCAAATGCAAAACTGACGGACTGAAATCACCCTCAAAATCTTTAACTCAACTTATCAGCCATCTACACATGAAATGAATGTTATTACTTCTTAAAATTTGTGTGAAAAGTTCAAAGCTTTTTTGCATAATAAATTATAAAGCTGTGGTACAAAGTCATACAGATGAAATAATCTAAATAGAAGGACAGATTTCAAAAGTAAACTTGGGCATTATGAATTACTCTTACATAATATGCATATTTTTGGTTCATGGATACTAGCATATGCTATTTGCAAATCCAAAAGTATGTTTTTTTTTAACTTCAAGTCAATCTCTGTGTGTTTTCACTTCAAGATTTTACTGACTCATTCTAGACAGGAAGTAGATTTTGAACTGATTTTTTTCTAGTATAAAGAGTGGATTTTTCTCCGTTGCACCAAATCTCCCTCTGACAATTAGCAAACTTTTACCAACAGGTTAGCACTAAGGAAGACAGTCTAACTGTTCACAAAGCATACTGCATCATGAAAAAAGGACACAAGAATAAATATAAATACATGTGAGATCTAAGACTATACACAAGAGGACTTTAAAAATGAAATTCATGCATTATTTTTTCATATATGCATTTTCCATGAAGGGTTTAAAGACCCTCTTTTTATATGTGTATATATAAATAAAAATACACACACATATATGTGCATCTGTGTGCATGTGCCTGTATGTACATATACATATATATATATATATATATATATATATATAAAACATATGCCATATTTCATTTTTAAGGGACACTTATGCAATAGGAATTTCATTCTAATGCTTAAACATTTTCCAAGCCTACGGTGAAAATAATATGTGAGGCATAGCAGGTGGATGAGCTAACAAAAGATCATATTAGGAAAATAATGTGCATAAGCAGAAAATATCTCAACAGTTGAACAGCATCTCAAAAGACATGATTTCATCATTCCTGGTTGCTTCAAGCACCTGGTCCAAGGAAGAAATTATGGCACCTTAGAAAGGCCCAACTTTACTGGCAATTCTATGACTTGATGTTAACGGGAACCTGTCACAGATGCTTGCACGGTTATTCAGCACACAGTGACAATAGATTAGGTACATAGGACAGAAGCTATGTCTATGCTCTGAGAGAGGCATGAAAGTGCTTTGAAAGTGGCAGTGATTCAAAGGAGGAAGGGCCGCAGCAGTGAGGTGAAAGATGAACAGGAAATCCATGACAAAGAAGAAGACCCAAGAAGCAGTATGAGGTTGGAGGAGATGTGGGGGTAAGAGAGCAGAGATGGATACTACTGGAGGAAAGAATTTCCAAAACATATACCAAAGGGGCACTGAAACGTTCTGAGAAGCCAGGGGACTTCGCCATATAGGGTAGGTTAATTGCAGAAAACTGGTAGGAATGAACAGATATAGAAGAAATCAGCAGCTTGTGGAGGTTCCGGTTGAATGTAAACACCATGTACTTTTCTTCCCACACACATAGTAGGTGGATGCTCAAGCTTTACTGCATAAGCACTGCATACATCATGAATGACTGCTGAAATTTTAACATTTGCTGAAAGGCAGTGGAGGAGCCAACAGGTGGCTTGGTGGTTAAAGTGCTGGATTCCCATGTAATTGACCACAGTTCCAGTTCTGGACCCGATGGCTTGAAACATGCTAGGGACATGGGTGTGCATGCCCAAAATCCAGACAGGAGAATAGAGGAGAAGGGATTGTGGTGCAGCCATACCCCTGGAGGATGATTTCTCTCAAAAAAAAAAAAAAGAAAAGAAAAGAAAAAAAAGGGCTGGGAAAACAATGAAGAAAATGTAGGTGAGAAAATCAGATTTAGACTTGTAAACAAGCATTTTTGAGGTTTTATTGTACAATCAAAAGAGGGAAAATGTGAGAAACAGGAATAATACTAACAATTCCAGCCTGATGGACTATTATGAGGACTGTAATGAGGATAGACAGACAGGACTATAATGAGGATAGAAAGAGACAGATACAAGAAATATGTAGATAATGTATAGGGTTTAGTGACTAATTGAAAATGGAGAAGAAAGGGATGATAAAAGGTGTTTTGTTGGTTTTGCACTTGAGAAATTGGTACATGACAGTTTCATAAAAGGTGATAGAAAGTACTAGAAGAAGAGCAAACACAGGTGAAGTGGGTAAACAATAGATCCAGTAATGGATACTGAGGTAACTGTGTGGTGTCTAGATACGTGAGAAGTTGTACGTGTCTTTTAGAAAAGATCTGGTTAGTAAACACTCAACAAAATCTAGAGATATGTAGATCACTGGAGTAGAGATTTGAAAGAGAGAACCAGCTAGAATAAAATTATTTCTATACTTATGTGTCAGATATAAGAAAACTAGACTTGACAAGGTAAAAACAGCACTTGTAGAAGGTGATTTCACATAATTCAAGTAAAAAAAAATTGAACAAAGGGTGTGGCAATATCATGTTACCAGAAAGGCCAAGAAAGATAAAAACCAAGAAGACCTTACATTTTGCTTTGACATTTTGGAAGTAGCCCTACAGAAATCTAGATTGCTGAGGTTAGAGGAATGAATGCAAGAAGTGGGAACTTGGCTGTGAAAAGCAGCAGAGATAGGGAGGGTGAGTCTTAAAGATTAAAAACTAAAGCTAGAGACACTCTAGGAGGGGTAGGCGAGAGGAGATGGGGAGAAAATGAGGAGCATTTATCAAACACAAACAAGAAAAGGTGTGTATCTGTTGACGCTAATGTACATGGTAATCCCTCTTACTTGAATGATATGTACTGTATGCATGCTAGGAAAAACAATTTTGAACACTAACAATGAATGGTGATTAAATGTAAAATTTTAAATAAATAAATAAAAATCAAAAAGTATGATGAATAAAGAAACATACACACACACATATACACAAACTAAGTAAGAGTTCTATGGGAAAAGAGCCCTCGAGGAGGTAAAAGTTGAGTCTGGACTGAGGTGGTATTTTCTCTTTTGGCCCATTATTCTTCTCCTTTGCAATGTGTGCTCACTTTTGACAGGAAATCACTTCCCCTATAGGTATTTATGTTTTAGTAAGGAACTTCTGAAAACTAGAAATTCTCTAAGAGTCAAGTGACTGATGAAATCTCCGCCACTGTGACATGCAACAGAGACTCTAGGATGGAGTTCCCGTGGTGCTCGAATTACACACAGTGTTGGCAGTCACAGGTTCCTTAGGTCCATGGCTGGCACTGATAGAATATTTTTGGAAGACAAAGGGAGATAAGGGACTGTGTTGTGGGAAAGAAGTTTTTAGGCTGACTACACTTCCACTACAATATGTGAAAGAGCAGAGAGTGGAAATCTGAGTATCTACTTAACAATATTCTCTGACATGTTATCAACTCCATTGCCTGATAATAAGTACAAATTTCAACACGTGGCATTTTTCATGGGAAATTGTAACATTTCCTTTTCATTACTTTATTTATGATTTCCTTCTAGGTGAATTTCCAACTTAGCAATCTGCTTTATAAATACTCGATAAACCCTATTTTATGATAATCTGGTAGAGCGATTAAAATTTTAAAAATTGTTTTAGTGAAAAGTACAAATACAAGTGAAAAATGCATTTTAATTAGAAGGAAATTAAATTGATAACTGAAATCTTACATTATGAATACACCAAATTACATAAATAAATACAAAAGTGTATGCAAGCTTATTTTCAGCTTCACTTTCAGCATTACTGCATGAAAAAGTCAATGTCGGAGTCAATTTTCCTAGGCTGATGGATTCACAAATTGAGAGATGATGAAGAGACGATCTTCTTTCCTGGATAGTGATATATTTATCATCAACAAATTATTTTTAGAATATAATCTATGTGTGTGCTGATTTTTAAGGCTATAAAAAAGGTGTTATTTAAGATTAATGGCAGAATTTGGAACTAAATTTAAAAGTTGGGGAGCCAGCTGATGGCATAGTGGTTAGGCACTGGACTCCCAAATGGCTGATCATGGTTCAAATCCTGAACCTGGTGGCTTGAAACTTACACCAGGCATGATTGCGTATGTGCCCAAAATCCCAAGAGGATAGTGGAGGAGAAGGGATTGCAGCATGGCCATTTCCCCTGCTTTCTCTCTGGTGAGCACATGTACCCTACAGCAAAAATCTCTCAAAAAATGAAAAGCAAAACAAAACAAACAAAAAGTTTTTGCCAGAAGGCATATGTGCTCACCAGAGACAGACAGAGCAAAAGAAAACAAGAAACTACTTTCCATGGGGCACAATCACGCTGCAATCCCTTCTCTTCCACCCCTCCCTTCTTTTAAGACAGTGGGCACACATTCTTAAGACAGCAAGCAGTGTTTTTCAAACTGCACAAGCGGCGGTGTCCAGGGCTTGAACCACTTGGTGGGCATGTGGAATTCAGCCACCTTAACACCAGGTCATGAGCTGGCTGAAGAGTCAATTTTCTAGAAAAAAATGTAATAACAGAAATTGGGCAGTTGATGAAAACTTATAAAGCTGTTCATCTTTTTTCTCTTTCTGTTGTTCTTCCAAAATCTCCTACTGAAAGGAGACACTACGTATCTACATAGGTTGTGGTAAAGATCAGTGGCTAGCCAACATCTCATCTCACACTCTACTCAAGGACAGTCCAAATAATATGAGAACAAACCTTCACAGTAAGAAGCAATAATGGGAGACCAGCAGGTGGTGTAATAGTTAAGGTGCTGGATTCCCATATGGCCAACTGCAGGGTGAGTCCTGGGCCCAGAGGACTCACGCTAGGCATGTGTGAGTGCATACCCAAGATCCTGAGAGGAGAATGGAGAAGGGATTGCGGC